GTGCGGTCACTGAGGTGCTGATCGACTGGATCCGCGAGGCTCGTCTCCAGCTCAGGAAGAGCTTCGGCTCGGACTTTCCTGTTCTGCGTCTGCACTCGGACAGAGGCGGAGAGTTCTCTTCTCGCCTTCTGCGGGACTACTGTCGTGCACGGGGGATTCGCCAGACCTTCACGCTTCCGGACTCACCACAGCAAAATGGGATTGCTGAGCGCCGCATTGGCATGGTCATGGATGTCGCTCGTACGTCCATGATGCATGCGGCTGCCCCCCATTTTCTGTGGCCGTTTGCGGTGAGGTACGCGGCGCATCAGCTCAACCTTCACCCCCGGGTCTCTCGGCCTGCGATGTCCCCAACCTTGCTGTGGACGGGGAAGGTTGGCGATGCGTCTGTGTTCCGTGTCTTGGGATCTCGGGCGTTTGTCCGCGACTTGTCTGCGGACAAGCTGTCCCCTCGTGCTGCTCCCTGTGTCTTCCTTGGCTTCCCCACTGACGCCCCAGGGTGGCAGTTTTACCACCCCTCCTCTCGTCGTGTTCTGTCCTCCCTGGACGTCACGTTCGACGAGTCAGTCCCCTTCTACCGTCTCTTCCCCTACCGCACTCCTTCCCTCCCCCCTCCCCCGGACTTCCTTGTGCCGGTTCCCCCCCCGGTAGACCCCCTCCCCCCTCAGGTTCCTGCCCCCTCAGGTGTGTCCCAGGTAGACGCCGTTGACCCGGTCGAGGTTACTGGTGACTCTGGTGCTGCTGCGGGTGCTGAGCCTGGGGGTGCTGACTCTGGGGGTGTTGTGCGCGGGGGTGCTGAGCCTGGGGGTGCTACTGCTGGGGGTGCTGGGCCTGAGGGTGCTACTACGGAGGGTGCGGAGCCTGGGGGTGCTGAGCCGGGGGGTGCTGTGCCTGGAGGTGCTGGGTCTGGGGGTGCTGGGTCGGGAGCTGCTGAGCCTGGGGGTGCTCAGCTGGGAGCTGCTGAGCCTGGGGGTGCTGCGTCTGGAGCTGCTGAGCCTGGGGTTTCTCCTGCTGCTGCGTCTCGCCGGGAGCCCCTCTCTCCACAGGAGCTGCGCGAGTGGTTCGCTCGCCGCTGGAGGCGTGCTGCTGAGTCTGGAGGTGCTGCTGGAGCTGGAGCTGGAGCTTCTTCGACCGTCGAGGGTGCGGGTGCTGCCGGTCCCGGAGCTGCTGGACCTGCGGGTCCTCCTGGAGCTGGAGCTGCTGAGGGCGTTGGTGTTGAGCCTACTGCTGTTGGTCCTGCCGCTGAAGGTGTGGGTGGCGCTGGTGCTGTCGCTGAGGGTGCTGGTGCTGTCCCTGCTCAGTCTGGAGCTGCCGCGCGGCCTCGGCCGTACTTCGTTCCGCTCCTGCAGCAGGTTCTTGGTCTTTCTCCTCCAGTAGAGGGTCCACCGCCTGTCCAGTCGCAGTCCCTGCTGGAGCCTTCCTCTCCACTGCCTGCTCCCTCTCCTTACACTGGTCCTACTGGAGGTCTTGCTGAGCGTCGTGAGCCTGCGTCTCGTCCCGCGTCGCCTGTTCGTGCTGCTCGCGCTAGTGGTCGCAGTTCGCGTCAGCGTCCTCCTCCTGTCCCTGGCACGCACCGGATGTCTTTGCGTCCGTCCACTGCTCCTCTGCGTGCCCCTTTGCCTTCTCCTCCTGAGTCCTCTCTTCCTGCACTTGCCGACCCTGAGTCGGACTCTCTTCGTGCTGCCAGTCCTACTGTCACGCGTCTACTTGCTACTGTCGTCACTGACCCCTCTTTTGAGTCCACTGCTGCGTCTGCTCTAGTCGCTGAGCTCGTCGACTTTGCTGCTCGCTGTCGTCTCGACTACGCTGCTAGTCTTGTTGCTGAGTCTGCGTCTGTCTGTCCTCCGTCCGTCGGGGGTGAGTGTGCTCTTGGCACGGACGTCCTAGAGGACAGGCAGGAGGAGTTACAGTGTCTAGCGACTGCTTCACCTCATCTCGCGTCTGTACTGCTTGCCCCTGAGGGAGACCCGAATGCAGTAGACATCCCGACTCCGCGTTCTTACGCGGAGGCCGTAGAGGGTCCCTACTCCTCTCAGTGGCAGGCAGCTATGGATGCAGAGATGGCTTCCTGGAAGTCCACAGGCACCTACGTTGACGCGGTTCCCCCTCCTGGGGCGAACATCGTCAGTGGCATGTGGATCTTCAGGGTGAAGCGGCCGCCGGGCTCTCCACCTGTCTTCAAGGCACGGTACGTTGCTCGTGGCTTCAGTCAGCGGCAGGGAGTGGACTACTTTCAGACCTTCTCTCCCACCCCAAAGATGACTACTCTTCGGGTGCTGCTGCACATAGCCGCTCAGCGCGACTACGAGCTTCACTCTCTTGACTTCAGCACTGCGTTCTTGCAGGGCAGCCTGCACGAGGAGATCTGGCTTCGCCGTCCACCTGGCTTCACTGGGACTTTCCCTCCTGGCACCCAGTGGAGCCTCCGACGGCCAGTCTACGGTCTCCGCCAGGCACCGCGTGAGTGGCACGACACACTGAGGACTACGCTTGCGGCTCTTGGGTTTGCTCCTTCTACTGCTGACCCGTCGCTGTTTCTTCGCACCGACACTTCCCTGCCGCCGTTCTACATCCTCGTGTACATCGACGACTTAGTCTTTGCCACAGCGGACACTGCTGGACTCGCCTACGTGAAGTCCGAGCTGCTGAAGAGACACACGTGCACAGACCTGGGTGAACTGCGCAGCTACCTTGGCTTGCATATCACTCGGGACAGAGCACGCCGCACCATTACCTTGACTCAGTCACACATGGTGCAGCAGGTCCTTCAGCGCTTCGGCTTCACGTACTCCTCGCCTCAGGCCACTCCTCTGCCTACTCGCCACTCACTCTCAGCTCTGCCTTCGGATGAGTCCGTAGAGTCGAGTGGTCCGTATGTAGAGCTTGTTGGCTGCCTCATGTACCTGATGACCTGCACACGACCTGACCTTGCATACCCTCTGAGCATTCTTGCACGCTATGTTGCTCCTGGGAGACACAGACCGGAGCACATGGCTGCAGCGAAGAGGGTATTGCGCTACCTGTGCAGTACGTCGGGCATGGGGCTAGTGCTTGGAGGGCGGAGTCCAGTGGTCCTTACCGGCCACGCGGACGCTTCTTGGGCTGACGACCAGGCTACGCAGCGGTCGTCACAGGGTTACACCTTCAGCCTTGGTTCCGGCTCTGTCTCGTGGCGGTCTACTCGCTCGTCTTCGGTTCTCGGCTCCAGTTGTGAGGCTGAGATCTACGCCGGGGCCATGGCTGCACAGGAGCTTCGCTGGCTCACCTACCTGCTGACTGACCTTGGAGAGCCGCCTCGTTCTCCTCCAGTGCTGTACGTAGACAACAAGGCCATGCTGGCCTTGTGTCGAGAGCAGCGCTTGGAGCACAGAACGAAGCACATTGCTCTCCGCTACTTCCTTGCTCGTGAGCTGCAGCAGCGTGGTCAGTTGCGACTTGCGTACGTGGCCTCTGAGGCCAACACTGCTGATGTGTTCACCAAGGCACTCGCGCCTTGTGACCATCAGCGCTTTTGCACCCAGCTGGGTCTTGTACCTGTCTTGCCTCACTTGCTCTCCTCTTGACTTCACTTGTACTGTGACATATATATATACCTGTTCTTGCTTGTCTAGTTTTATATATATGTCTGTACTCCTGCATGTGAACTGGCCTCTGGCCCTGCTCTTGTGCTCGGACTGTGTGGTGACTTTGTGATCCACCCTGAGCTTGCTTTGCTTTGCTTTGCTTGACTGGTCTTGTGACCCCTTGTTCTCCCCCACTTAGCCTATGGGGGTGTGTCAGAGTATTATAGCTGATGCATGTTTGTAGGCTATAGTGGGGTAGCACATATGGGGTACAGCTTTCTAGGGTTGTATTTGTACCCAACTCTGACTTAGTCATTCCCATTCCTGTTCACTTGTTTCACAGATATTTGGATTGAAAGCCAGATGCTCCTGCTCCACCTCCCAGCGGTTTGTCGGTGTTCGCGGTTTGCACAGCGGCGAGCCCCAGAATTTCTCAGTCAGCTCCTTCCATCGTGCGCTTCCTTTCACCCAGTGATCCAGCACGGACTTGTGCGCGAAGACGGTGTCCAGTCCCAGGGGGAATTCCGCAGCCTTAACCGCCAACCATTTTTTTACAGAGTCCGGCATCAGCACCAGTCGGCAGACGTTCCGGATAGCGATGCTGTTGACTCTCAGCTCCGGGCAAATCAGCCCCAGCCCCCCGTCCTCCCGAGGCGTGCATGCCAGCTTGTAGTTCCAGAGTATGAAACGCTTCTCCTCGGCCGTTTCACCCTTCGAGACAAAGGTGTGGCATAATTTGTGAATCCTCTTCCAAATGGCCTCCGGCGGTAGGTATACTTGTGCCTGGAAGAGGAAGACCGGCACAATGTAGCTGTTGATTATTGTCACGCGTGATGTCGTGGTCAAGTGCCTCATTTCCCACTTCGCTAACTCCCCCCTTGCCCTGTCCAGCGCCTTGTTCCAGGAAGGGGCTGGGTTCCCACTTGGCGTGATCCAGACCCCCAGCAGACGCTCCGGGTCGTCTTTACCCGCCCACTTGTATCTCACCCGGTGCGGTGCCGGCTTTCCCCGGTTTTTCCCCAGCGGAAATATCACTGTTTTCCCTTCGTTCACCTTCAGGCCCGACTCCTCCCCGAAATTCGACAGCACCTTAGACGCCGTCTGGAGCTGCTCCGCACCCTGCAGTAGGAGTGAGGTGTCATCGGCGTAACCCAGGTACGCCAGCTTGCCCACACCCTTCTTTCCGATTCCCAGCTTTTTTCGGTTGATCTCTTGGCATAACGGCTCCACCGCGCAGAGGAACAGGTACGGCGCCAGCGGACATCCTTGGCGCACCCCCTTTTCCACCGCTACCTTTTCACCTGTCCACCCGTTAATGTGCAAACGTGTACCTGCTCCTTTGTGCAACCCCTCCGTCCAGGGCACGAAGTTCTCCGGTAGGCCCAACTTCCGCAGGGTGCTGAAGAGGAAGTCACGCGAGATTGAGTCAAACGCCTTTTAGAAGTCGACCATCAGCAAGAACCAGTCCTCCTTCCCGCTTGCCCCCGCATCTATGGCGTCTGCCACCACCGCCACCGCGTCCGCCAACTGACGACCAGGTATGAAGCCGTACTGGTCCTCCGATAAGACCTCGTGCAGAACAGTCTTGAGCCTGCTCGCCATCACCTTTGCTAAGATCTTGTACACGGTGCTTAGAAGCGTTATCGGTCGGTAGTTCCCGAGGTCACCTTTGTCACCCTTTTTGTGCAGCAGAATGGTCACCGCTGTGGTGATTTTTTGCGGCAGGTCCTCTCCCCTTGTAAACCTCCCCACCAGGTCCATCAAGATCGGCCCCAGCAAATCCCAGTTATGGTCGAAGAGCTCCTTGGGCAGGCCATCTGCTCCAGGCGATTTCCCCGGGGCGAGCTCCCGAACTGCCTTCCGCACCTCTTCCTCCGCCCAGGGTGCCCCCAGCGAAACCTTGCTCTTCTCTCCCAGCTGCCGCTGCATGGTACGGTCAACCGTTACAGGTAAAGCGCCTCCATCCGAACATCCGAAGGCTTCTCGGAAGTGATCGGTTGCCGCCGAGAGAACTTCCTTCACCCCTGAGAAGACACTCCCATTTCTTGATACTTCGCGGATCTCCGTCCCTGCCTTGCGTGCTTTGATTTGCGCAGACAGGAATCCCGATGCCACCTCCCCATCCAGCTCTGCTTCGACGCATGCCCAAGTCTGCAGTTTCTCCTTGTGATTTTTTTCGTACGCTTCCAGCAACTCCTCTTTCCTGAGCAAGATCCGGCCTGTACGTTGACAGTGTGGGTATCTTGACACTCGGACGCGGAACCGCTCCACTTCTTTGGTGAGGTGCAATCTGGTCGCCTTCTCCCGTTTCCTTTCCTCCCGTGAGTACGCCCTCAGACAGGCGGGTAACCTTCCTAGCAGCCGGACAGCAGGTTCACCAGCGGATTCCTCGATGATCTTCTTAATGATTTTTCTGACTCCCTGTTTTTTCGTTTGCTCCGCCCTCAACCTCCAAATGCCCGGCCCTTTCTTGATCGTGTCTGCAGATTCCAGCACCACTCCTATTCCGCGCCAGTGGTCCGTCATCCCATTCGTGATCGCCACGTGCTTCGCTTCCACCAATCGCAACAGCAGCGGCTGAGATATCAGCGCCCTGTCGATTCTCGAGCTGGACCTTGTTGCTTTAGCAAAGAACGTGTACTCCCTCTTGTCCGGATGTAAGTGCCTGAAAGCATCCCTCAAATCCGTGTTCCCCCAGCAGCTCAGAAGCCTTTGATTCTCTGCCGAGGAGCCGGAGTGCGATGTGCGGTCCAAGTCCGGGTCCTCGACCACATTGAGGTCCCCCATCACCAAAATATGGTGGAAACTCGGCAAGGACTGCAGAAACGGCTCCAGGCTGTCTTTGTAAAAGCTGCTCCTATTCACCGCCTGAGCCGGGATGTATGCTGCGATCAACAGGAACTCCAGGCCTCCCCAGCGAACGACCACCGCCAGGAGCCTGCCAGATACATGGGTGAAGCTGTTCACGAAGACCAGTCCAGGTACAAAACTCACTATAGCAACCCCTCCCGCCGACTCATCAGGGTTTTGTCCACACACTGCGTAGGCACTTGGTGTTATGTCTGTCCAGAAATTGTGGTCAGCCTGAAGTCTTGTGTCAGTGATTATAGCCACGTCCGTCTTTTCTCTCATCCATTCCTTGCATTTCCTCTGTTTCTCTACTCTGCCGAGTCCGTTGATGTTGAACTCACAAAAAACAACTTTGTGGGCCTTATCCATTAATCAGCAACGGTGAAGCCCCTTCGCATCCACGGGCTGTAAAGGTACACAATGCTACTGGAGCAGGTAAGCCGTTGATTCCAGCCTCCTCTCTTATTCCTCTGCCGATGCATACAACTGTTGTGGTCCTGCTAACCTGCACTACTTCTGTAGCTTTGACATGAACTCCTTCCTGAAAGATATCATCTTCTGAGGGAACGTGCCGACACGTGTTGCTGAGCTCTCCTTCCGCAAACCCTCTTTGTGCCGGGCGGATACGATATGAGCCGATGCCTGCTCGAAATGAGTCCCCTGCGCCTTCTCGCATACTGCTTGGACACAAACCCACTCCTCCCGTGTGCCACCAGTGGAAGTGAGGATGATGGCAGGGTCGCGTATGATACGCTTCAGGGAATCTGAAGCTTTCAGGGACGCAGCTGCGGGGGGAGGGAAGCGGCCAATCGTCAGAAAGTGGTAAGAAGTTAAAAACGAGTGAGTTAGCAGGTCCCAGAGGCAGGTAAGGCGTCGCTCAGCTTGTACCGTTCATCTGGTGCACTTTCTTAACCGTCACATTCCAGTTGTTGAAGTTGTCTTATCTTGGGGCGACGTAACGGTCATGGTAACGAGTCATGTGCTGCCCACCGCAGAAATCGCAGGTCAGCGACGGGTAGTGAAGCAGGTAGCTCTTTCCAGTGGTGGGGTCTTCAACAAAGGTGCGCCAGCGGTATTCGTCGTCAGCATGGGGGATGAACAACCCACGAATGCGATCCGTGTCCAAGCCTGACACCGGGTCAACTGTCCGATGAAAGCCGAATCCACTGGCGAATATGCTTCTGCCACGCTTCATCAGTTTTGACACCACTAGCAAACGACGAATCAGTTCTGCCGACATTTCCGCAGGTACGCCTTTGATTACGATCTCCTTCGCCGTGAGGTTCAGAACGCGCTCACGCAGGAAACGTGCGTCCTCTGGGTGCTGCCAGGTGAGGTCGATGAAGTCGCCATTGACGCATTCGTGACGAATAGTCTGGTTCCACACGAAGTTGGCGTCCTTAACTTGATTGAATGTAACCTGCAGGCGGCCATAACGCTCTCCAGAGAGAAACATCGGAGCGAGGTCCTGGTAAGCTGTGGTCAGCAGCGCGTCTGGCGTTAATAATTCCTTCCATTCATCCAGCATGGCAGCAACTGTTTGAGCCGCGCGCTTAACCTCCACTTTCCTGGCAATCGGCACCAACAGGGTTAGTGTGAATCGCTTTAAAGCAATAATGCTGTTAAGACAGTCCGGCTCCAGGTGATCGTCGCTGTCATCACTCAGGTAACAGTCGTCGTCGTCATCGGCAGGGGCATCCGTTGACCGCGCGTCATCATCAGCAGTGTCCTTAGCGTCCCCTTCTTCACGTGCCTCTCCTTCAGCAAGTTCACCATTGTCGTCAGTGCTTTTCTTGGTTGCATCAGCATCCTGATCAGCAGCAACCTGCTGCTCGATGAAGGCTTCGAAAGGCCCAGACGAAGGCGCTGAGGCGAGATTTAGTGGAAGCTTTCCGGTAACAGCAGGCTCCTTCAGAGGTAGGTCATGTACGTCTGTCTCCTGAGCCATGCCAACGTTTTTCTTCGCTTTGTTGCCTTTCTTGCCTCCCATGGTGCGATGATGATACAGACTTGACAGCCCGTGCTTGGCTGATAAACAAGCTTGTCTGAGCAAAATCACCACGCCGGGCTTATATTTCTTGTGTTTGAATGCGAACCTCTGCAGGTCCAGGCCACGCGATAAGGCCGACACCCTAGCGTAGTTCTCCATGCCTTGAAAACAGGTTGTTCCCTTGAGTCTTGATCCTTGAGATATGCTTGCTTTGGTTGTACCGCTAGATGTTGTATACATTGATGACACCATGTGCTGGTGGAAGCCAAGGAGTAGCCTTGGTAACTGCCGCAGTCCATAGGATGATATCTGAGGCTGAGTTGGAGTTACGACTTGCCTGGACGATAGCCTGGAACATACAAAACAGGTGTATAGGTTCCCTTTATGAACACTAAAAAGACACCGTTGTGTAGATCTTAAAGCCGCGCATCGTCTGAAACAATCAGTGCCAACATCAGGTCTGAAATTGATGGACATTGATGGAGTTAAAGCTCTCCGCCATGGCCATGGATGATAAGATGTCATTGGCCACAAAAATGTGTTGTTCGCGTTACCACCGTCGCACGAACACTCCGCACGCCATCCGGCTGACAGTGCGGTTCAGTTGGTTTCCTCGAACCAGCCCTTCATCGGAGATCAAAATCCACTCATTTGCAACGCAATTAACCAGACCGAACCGTAGTTTGTGGGGATAAACAGTTGTGTCGGGAAAAGGGCTAGTGTCTACTCAAACCAGGTCGGCAATTGTAGAAGTCAATGCATCTTGTTCGCATTAGCTACTAGCGATCCCGCGTCAAATGCGGGGTAAATAGCACTTTCCGTTGCGGGGCGGCCGCATACCTCATAACCAGCGGGTCGTTTGTATTTATACTCACGTTTTTCAATTATCTCCTGCGTCCGTGGCAACTATGGGAGGGGTTTTCGGCCGGCCGAAGCAGCATCGCGGGGACGGGAAAGTTGTGGCAATAACGGGATGCTCTAAAGGAGGAATTGGTTACGCGCTAGCAGAGTACGCCTTTTTAGATACCTAGTCTCCGGGGGTTCTTTGTGTGATTAGGAACTTTTAACACTGTGAATTGAATTCGACGCAAACATCCTCATAGCCCGCTGTATCATCCTTTTCACTGTCACTCACATTCCCTCTCACATTTGCATCCCTCCTCTCACTCGCATTCCCCCTCTCACTTGCATTCCCCCTCTCACTCGCATTCCCCCTCTCACTCGCATTCCCCCTCTCACTTGCATTCCCCCTCTCACTCGCGTTCCCATTCTCTCTCTCATTCCCTCTCACGCGCATTCCCTCCTTCACTCGCACTCCCCTGCTCATCAATTAGAGCGGCGAGCCGGGGCGCCAAGGTGTTTGCAACGGCTCTTCCTTGCTGCCCTCTCGTGCGTGCCGCCCCTTGGTTTTGTCTTGATGCCCTTACTCCCCCCAACCCCACTCTTATAGCACACACCTCTCATCATACCCACCAGCGAGCACGCATAGTTTTGAGACGTCACAAACCCACCAGTGAGCACGCGTGGGGGGCGCCAAGGGGTTTACAATGGCTCTTCCTTGATGCCCTCTCGTCCGTGCCGCCGTCTCCGCGTATAATGAGTCGTGTTTTGAGTCGGCTCAAAACACGACCCACCAGCGAGCACACATGGGGGGCGCCAAGAGGTTTACAATGGCTCTTCCTTGATGCCCTCTCGTCCGTGCCGCCCTCTCCCCCTCCTCCTCCCTTTCCCCTCCTCACTCCCCCCACAACCAGGGAGTATGCACGGCGGGGCGCCAGGGTGTTTGCGACGGCTCGGTTGGTAGAGGGCCATGGAGGGTCTGGAGGAGGGTAGCCAAGCTGGCCATGAAATGACTGGAGGAGCAGGGCGTGCCTACAGTGAAGCTGCCATTCCTCCCATTGCCCCTCATCCCCCTCATCCCCCTCATCCCCCCCAGCCCACCCACTCCTCCCCTCTCCCTCCTCTGCCCACACGACCAGGGAGGGAGTACGCGCGGCGGGGCGCCAGGGTGTTTGCGACGGCTCTGCTTTGGTGCCCTCTAGTCCGAGTCGCGCCTCATCCCCTTCAGCCCACCCAGTCCTCCCCTCCCCCTCCTCCCCCTCCTCACTCCCCACACGACCAGGGAGTATGCACGGCGGGGTGCCAAGGTATTTGCGACGGCGCGGTCGGTAGATTCAATGGAAGGGTTGCAGGAGAAGGGTGTGAGTACAGTGAAGCTGGATGTGACTAAAGACGGTGATATTAAGGTGCGCTTGTAACTGTCTTGTTTATCCCCTTCCCTTTGTTCATCCCCCCCAATTGTCCCATCCACTCATTCCTTTCATACTCCTCCCCCCCCCTCTCCTCATTCCCTTTTTGGTTCCCCCGTTTCTTGCAGTCTGCAGTGGATGTGATTGTAAAGAGCGCCGGGCAGATCGACATTCTTGTGAACAACGCGGGTGTGCTTATAATGGGGCCAGTGGCGGACCTCCCTCTCTCCTCCTGGCGCCATGGCTTCGAAACCAACCTGCTGGGGGCAGTGGCTATGGCACAGGCTGTGTTTCCTCACATGGCTGAGAGAAGGAGCGGATGCATTGTGAATGTGTCGAGCATCCTGGGATATCAGGCACTGTGAGTATAACGGGGGCGTTGGAGCTTCCTGAGTTGGTGGTGAGATATTGAGTTTTCTTGGGGCAGTGGCCATGGCAAAGGCTGTGAGGCCTTCAAGTATGGCGGGGGTTTTGCTTCCCATTTTAAACGATGGGGACATCACGACCCTGCTTGGGGCAGTGGTCATGGCAAAAGGCTGTGTTTTCCCACATGGCTGAGCGGCAGCGGAGATGAAGCCCCTCCTTTTTCCCTCCCTTTCCCTTCCCCATTCTTCCCCATATGTGCTTCCACAGGCCCATGGGTGCATTACGCTCAGCACCTAAGGCAGCACTGACCGGAGTGACCAACTGCGTGCGCATGGAAATGAAGCCCTTTCCTCGGGTCCCCCTTGCCTCTCCCACGATTCATGGCAGGCCCATGGGTGTAGTGTTATTCGGCATCCAAGGCAGCACTGACTGCAGCAACCAACTGCATACGCACGGAGATGAGTCGCCTCCCTTCCCCCTTCCCCCTTCCCCCTTCCCCCTTTCTCTCTCTGAACTCTCATCAAATCCCCCAGGCCCATGGGCGCTGTGTATTCGGCATCCAAGGCAGCGTTGACAGCAGCGACCAACTGCATGCGCATGGAGATGAAGCCGTCTCCCTTCCCTTTCCCCACTCTCTCTCTCCCATACTCGACCCTCATTACGCGCTCAATCACAGGCCCATGGGCGCTGTGTATTCGGCATCCAAGGCAGCGTTGACAGCAGCGACCAACTGCATGCGCATGGAGATGAAGCCGTTTGGAATAAAGGTTGTGCTTGCGACTCCTGGGCTTATCAAGACTGAGCTTTTCGGGTGAGTGGGGTGGAACAATGCACTTTCAGCAAAACCACCAGCATCTCTGTATCGAAAACACTTTCGCAAGCTTCAATAATAATGTCATCATCCTTTTTCTCACTGCTTGCAGAAAATCCCCTCAGATTTCCGTCCAGCTGCCACCCACCAGCCTCTACGCGCCCTGCCAAGCCAACATCGACAAAATGGCTAGCCTGCCCCATACAACGGCCATGACTCCCCCTTCCCAACTCGCTTCTCTAATTGCAAACGCCTCGCTTTCCCCCAGCCCTCCCTGGCGCCTCTTTGCCGGAGAACTCTGGACCACTGTGATGGCGATGGTGTGGTTTGCGCCTGTGTGGCTCACTGACTGGGTTTATTGGAGCACGGGATATGGAAAGCTTCTAGCAGCAGCTGAGACGAAGAGAATTGCCGACGGGGAGAGGAAGCATAAATAAATATGTGGAGGCGGTTAGGGGCGAGAAGGGGAGGGGGGGGGGAGATGAACATGACATGAGAAAGGTGTTCTTTGGTGGGAGATTCTCCATGCTTTTTATTACCATAGCAGCTTTGCATGTCAGCGACACTAGTAGGTAGATAGAACCTGTTTAAACATGTATCCTTCAAGGTTGATGGGTTTGATTGTGGAAGCGGATGTACTTGGGGGGTCCACTCTTCTTATGTCAAACATGACTTACAATATGGAGTTGTTTTTCACCAGGCTTTCACTGGCTGCTATTGGCCATGAGCTTTCATCCCATGATTGGCTTGAAGTTTCCCGACAATCCACGTGGCAAAGCATGATTCCCTGTCATTTCCACCTGGACCTGCACGTTCGCAATCTTGGCTGTTGATTCGCGAACACCACAACCTGGAATGCCTTAGCTCTCGAATTGGCTGTCCAAAGTCGGTCATGGCTTGGTTGGCTCGGAGTGACCTTGAAGAAGTTGAGAGACCCGCGAAAGTGTGAATATGTGAGCAGTATCGACGGTGACAAGCCACGGCCTTCTGCATCTGACGGGAGCGACACAATCAACAACCCCACGAACGACGGGCAGCCGCAAAAGGTTATCCAACCATAAAACACCAGCGAGCCAACTTCGGGGAGCTTTTGCGGCAGGTTCGTCATTCCGCTACGCTCTCTGCAACAGCCACCCTCTCCTCGCCTTGGGGTTGGGTCTACCCGTGGGTCCGTCTGCTCGCAGCCAGCCACCACCCTGCACGCACCCACAACCACCATGCCGCATGGCTTCCGGGGAACGCATGCATGTGATTGGCCGAGGCGTTTCTCGGTTCGGCGGGTCTGTCATGTCTGGTTGGTATGGAGCCGCGATGCCTTCACAAGTCATGGAGCCGTGGTGGTTGATCGACACCAGCGGCACCCAGGATAAACCTACTTCATCGAATGTTATCGTAATGGAACGCTACACATCCCGTCGATCGCGAATCCATTGCTCGAGCTTTGTGAATGAAATGGGGCTGTGCAGCTGACCTCCCTCACTGCAAAAGTCCGTTTGGATGAAAGCTCATTCTAGAAGTTCAACTAGAGACCGCTCATGGTTATTTCTGTTGTGGCACTTGTCAGAACTTGTATTCGCAGAAACTTGAGTCTGAAAGGCCTGGTAATTGTTTGTACATGAATTTCGTATTTTTCTTCTACGAAAACAACATGAACCTTAACATGGCTCGGTTTCACACCCTGGCAATAGGCCTTTGCTACTTGATATCTCTTCACCACTTGCATGCCAAGTGTCTCGCCGCAGACACCCTTCAAGTTAAAGCTGCTAGAATAGACGGTCCGAGCACCAAGGGGCTAGAGACAACAGCAATCGGCGCTTCAACGATCGATGTTCCACTGATTGACGTTCCAGCTAATGTCGTCGACGTAAACGCGTCGCCGATGGTTTTCCCCGTGAATTTAACTCATCTCAGTGAGATCAAGGAGCAGTACAACCTTTCGAACCATGGTACGCCGCGCCTACATGTGTGTCTGTTCTGTGCGTGCGGTTTGTCCGACTCGGAATTCGGCCTTGTCATCCTGCAAAATTTGCCATCCCTTCCGTGCAAATCCCAAATGACTAGTATTGTGTTCTCTCACATCCCTTTTAAGGCCGACCAAGATTGGTGATACCTTCTCAATTATTAGGTTGACTCAGGAGGTGATTTCCTCTCACATTCTTACCGCACTCGGCCAGACCGTTGCGTCCTTCTCCCCTCTCATCTGGGTATGTCCCAATCTTGTCGTTAACCCCTTCGCAGCAACTTACAACGAGGCTCATATCGACGGTCAGGTGGAGTCGCGCTCACCGGACGAGGAGTTTCAAACCGACGGTCAGTTGTCGACCCACTCATTGGACGAAGGGTCGCTGGTTGAATCCCGGCTAGCGTGCGGCGACGCAGTGGCAGCGGAAGTCGCGGAGGCGATACTGAAGGATGAGGTGGTTCGCCGGCTCGACCGGCTGGGAAACGTGAGCGACTCGGCACATTACTTGCAGCGCACGTTTCTCAGCGACGCGTCGTTGCGCGCCGCGGCGCTCGTCAGCGATTGGATGGAGGAGGCCGGCATGTACACGTGGATGGACGCGGTTGGCAACGTGCACGGCCGCGTCGACGGGTCGCATCCCGACGCGCCTGTGCTGCTGCTCGGCTCGCATCTGGTAAGCCGTAAGCCGCATCTCCCGATGAGGTGTGGTGTTGGAAGCGTGTTGTGTGAAGCGTGGTGTTCAAGACGCACCCCGACGCGCCTGTGCTGCTCCTCGGCTCGCATCTGGTAATAACGGGTGGTGGTAGCGGGCGGCTTGTGAGGCGTGGTGTTAGACGCACAGCTTCACGCGCCTGTGCTGCTGCTCAGCTCGCATCTGGTAAGCCGCATGGCGTGGTGTTAGACGCACGAGGGTGGGTGGCCTCATCATGATCATGGCCTGTTCGTCGCTCCACCTTCTCATCATCATCACCCCCTTCCCACACCCCCCCTTCCCTCTCGCGCTTTTCCCGTTGTCCCAGGACACGGTCGTTGACGCTGGTCGGTTCGACGGGGCATTGGGCGTAGTCACAGCCGTCGCCGCAGTAAAGCTCTTCCTCACAGCGTGCGGGGCTGCGGCGCTGCCTCGCCCCGTGGAGATCATCGCGTTCAGCGACGAGGAGGGCATGCGATTTCAGTCAACGTTCCTGGGGAGCAGGGCCATTGCTGGGACTATTTCTCCGGCCATGCTGCAGATGAAGGACAGCAAGTGAGTGCCTAAATCTGCTTGTGTGGCAAGGGTAGTCGAGAGTGAGGGCAGCAGGTGTCGCTGCCTCGCCCCGTGGAGTGGAGGTGGTGGCGTTCAGCGACGAGGAGGGCATGCGATTCCAGTCGACGTTCCTGGGCAGCAGGGCCGTCGCAGGAACACTGTCGGCTGATATGCTGCAGATGAAGGACAGTCAGTGAGTGCGTGAGGGGACATGCGGGCAGGTGAGGGCAGGTGAAGGCAGGTGAAGGGAGATGCGGGCAGTTGAGGGGTGATGGGCCACAGGTGAGTCATCGTAGTCTTCCCAACCAATTTGTTCCTCCTTGCGCTTTCTCCTCTATTGTCCCGTTCAGTGGTGTGACTATACAAGAGGCTATTGCGACGCTTCCAGCAACAGCAACTCCAACAACAAGAACATCCGCAGCAGGAAAACGAGCAGCAGCAGCAGCACCAGCAACAGCAGCAGACGGGCCAGCAGACGTGCGTACAGCTCGCTACCTCCCTGAGAGCGTATGGGGCTACGTGGAAGCACACTTAGAGCAAGGCCCGGTGTTGGAATCCCTAGAGCAGCCTCTGGGGGTGGTGCTGGGGATAGCAGGGCAGACGCGGGCGGAGGTGACAGTAGAGGGCGAGCAGGGGCACGCGGGGACTGTGCCTATGCGGCTTAGGAGGGACGCTGTGGCTGGCGCTGCTGCTGCTGTTGTGGCTGTGGAGTCTGTTTGCCTGGGGATATTGAGAGAGGAAGAGGAGGAGGAAGGGTTGGGAGGGAGAGACTGGAGTGGTGGTAACAGCAGCAGCAGCAGCAGTGGGAGTGAGGGAGGGAGCGGGGCAGGCAGTGGGCTGGTGTGCACGGTGGGGAAGGTGGTGGCATGGCCGGGGGAGAGCAACGTGATAGCAGGGAGCGTGGCGTTCACTCTGGACGTGCGGGCGCGGAGCAACGGTGTGAGGCTCGCTGCTGTGGCGGGGATCGAGAGGGAGATAGGGCGCATCTGCAGTGACCGAGGGCTGTCATGCCGGTTTGCAGTGAAGGTGGGTTATTTATGGTTGCAGCATACTGTAGGATGTGGGGTCAGTTCTATTCTTGAGGCGATTCAATAAGAGAATTTCCTCAAGACGTCTCAAAAGCGAAGGTGAGCTTTTGTATGTGAGCAACGTAGTGTTGGGAAAGGTTGTGGGGTCGGGCTCGGCGTGTAGAGGGGCGTTTACTGTGGGCGTGGCCTTAACTATAGAGGGGCGCAGGGCAAGATCGTGAGGCACAGTGAACTTGATCAAGCTGTGCCCGTCAAATACCTCACTTTTCCCCATCCACCTTTCACATTACTTGCATCGCCTTCTCTTCGTCCCCGTCGGCTTCCCTCCAGCATCAAGCTGACACCGTGGACTGCTCGCCTCCCCTCGTCTCCATGCTTCACCAGGCTGCCCTCAGCGCCTTCACTGCTTCCCTTCCCTTATTCCCTTTTGTTCTTCTCTTCCCTTCGTCCCCTTCCCTCTCACTCCAGCATCAAGCTGACACAGTGGACTGCTCGCCTCCCCTCGTCTCCATGCTACACCAGGCAGCAGTTACTGCCCTCACTGCTACTACACACCACACCATTCTCAGTAGCGCCCTCGCTGCCTCGCACCAAACCCGAATAGCCGCTGCTGTTGTTGGTACTGATACTGCTCCTGCGCATGATGCTGCTGTTGCATCTGACGCTGCTGGGTTCCAGGGAGCCACAGCTGGCAGCAGCAGTGGCAGCAAGAACACGTGTGAAGCGGCATATGGGTGCAGGAAGCACGAGGGTGGGGAGCAAGGGCAGAGAGAGCAACAAGAAGAGCAAGGGGGGCAAGGGCAGCACGTTCCTCGGCTTGTGAGCGGCGCAGGACATGATGCCATGGCAATGGCAGATCTCACCCAGGTGAGGGATGCTGAGGGTTACTGTGGGTTGCGGAGAGTTGCTGGGCGTGGGTGCAGGTTTTGTGCTGGTTTGAGTGGTGCATCCTCCTGTGAAATGAAGTGGTGAGTTTCCTCGGCTTGTCAGCGGGGCCGGACATGATGCCATGGTGGCGGCAGATCTCACCGGGTGAGGGATGGTAGTGAAGGTTGGTGAGGGGTGGTGGGGGGTGGTGAGGGTAGTACGTATGTTTGGATGGTATACCCGCCTGTGAAACATGGGGCTCCGCGGCTTGTGAGCGGGGCGGCCCAACATTGTTACAGGCTCCATTGTTGTATTCTTACACTGGTGTTTCCTGGGTGTGAGTGTGCTTGTCGGGTGCAGGTTGCGATGCTATTCGTGCGATGTCGAGGGGGTGTGAGTCATCGCCCGGATGAGTTTGTAAACCCACACGACCTCCACATGGCGTCCACTGCTATCTTTAGATTGCTTATATTAATGCCTTAAATGCAGTCATTGTGAAACCTGAAACCGGATATTGCATACAATGTATATAAGCTTACATTACACAACTACCGTATTGTTGATACTTGTTACGGGTGCAATGAATCGAGGTAGCGAGAATTGCACTAAGGTGTCAAACGAGTACAAAATGTGAGCGAAGGCATGAGCGAACATTTATACGCGAAACATGCAAAACGGTAACGCGGTGCGTGCGAGCTGGCTAGTGCTACGCTGGAGCGAAGCTCGGGCTAGTCCCGAAGCGTAGGCCGATACGGCCATGCCAGCAGTGCGAGGTTTGGCAAAACAGTGCGCGCGAAGTCGGCGAAGTTCCGTTAGCAGTAACGGGCGAACAATCGGCTGTTGCTGTACGCGATGTAGGCGGCCCCGTAAGGAATGCCGAGAAAATTCCTTACACTACCCCCCCCCCTTAAGAAGCCCCCTCCGCTACGCGAGTGCGTGTATATCGCGGAATCCCCGGCTCCTCAGGTACACTTGCAGGGTAGGGTGATTTTCGATGTTGCTCAGGGGCACCCAGCTATCTTCAGTTGGCGTGCGGTCTTTCCAGCGAACGAGGAATTCAATCCTCCTGATTCCCGTGGGGTGGCGGATCCGATGGCTCAGAATTTTTTCGGGCTCGATGATCGGCTCTGATGCAGGGCGAGTCATTGATTGTGGCCGGTGACGCGGCAGTTGACTTGTGGTCGGGATGTATGGGCGAAGTAGGCTGACGTGGAACGAAGGGCTGATGTACCAGTCGGTTGGTAACAGTAGGTGTGCAGTGACGGGTGTGATCATGTGACTGATTTGGAACGGTCCACAGTAGCGCGGTCGTAGTTTCGGTACGTCGGGCAGTCGCAGATTTTGCGTGTCGAGCAGCACGTAATCTCCAGATTGGTACGTGACAGGGCGGCGGTGGCGATCAGCGTTGCGCTTAGCGATGACATTGGCCTTTTTTATTGCTTCGGCGGCTCTGGCGCGGGCAGCTTGCAGGATTTCGGCGAATTGTTGTGCACGTGGCGTTGGGTTGTCCGGACTCGGCGTCATGGGCACTGTGGGGTTCTGCCCATAGTTCAGGTAGAACGGGGACTCCTGCGTCGTGGCTGATGTGGCGTTGTTGTACGCGAACTCGATCAGCGGCAGCTGCTGCTCCCAGGTCGTGGGGTCGTCGCACGTGGCACGAATCAACTGCTCCATCGTCTGATTCGTCCGCTCCGTTTGGCCGTCGGTCTCGGGGTGGTACGACGAACTGAACTGTAGCCTGGTCCCGAACTGCTCCCAGAGGTTCTTCCAGAAGTTGCTGGTAAACTTCGTGTCCCTGTCGCTGATAATTGCTGCTGGTATCCCGTGCAGGCGAACAACGGCTGCGATGAACAGGCGAGCGGTCTCTTCGGCTGAGATCGACTTTTTGCACGCAGCGAAGTGTGCCATCTTCGTCAACCTATCCACGACGACCATCACCGCGTCGTTACCCCCAGGGTTCGAAGGTAACCCTGTGACGAAGTCCATGGTTACTTGCTGCCAGGCGCGTTCGGGCGGTGGGATCGGCTGCAATTGACCCGCCTTCCGCTTCCTTGAACTCTTCATCACCTGACACGTCGGGCACGAGCCCACGTGCTGCTGTACGTCGGTCAACAGCTCCGGCCAGTAATAGTACCGCTGCAGTTGCTGTCGCGTTTTCTCTACCCCGAAATGTCCCGAGGTAATCCCGTCGTGTGCCTCCTGTAGTAGCAGCTCCCTCAGTAGTGAGTACGCGGGTACCCAAATGCGGTTGGTGCCTGCTTTTACGTAATAGACTCCTTTTGCTTCTGCCAGTTGCTGTGAATTTCCGGTCGTGAAAAATGGGTCGGTGCGGTATCCGTGGGTGAATAGGCCAGTTAAAAGCGGGTTGGTCTGGGCGAGTAGGATGGCGTGGAGTTGGGCGGTGGGGCGGGTGAGAGCGTCGGCGATGTTGGATGCTCCTTTTTTGTACGTGACGGTGTAGTGAAAATTGGACTCGAGGTAGTCCAACCAGCGAATCTGTCGTGGGTTGAGATTCGGTTGGGCGCGAAGGTACTGTAGCGAGCGGTGGTCTGTCCGTACTGTCACGTCGGCGCCAGTCAGGTAACATCGCCAAACTTTGAACGCGTGCACGATCGCTAGCATCTCGCGGTCGTGTATCGGGTAGTTGCGTTCGGGCGGGTGTAGTTTGCGGGACTCGTACGCGATTGGCTGGAGGCCATTCCCGAAGTCCTGCAACAGTACTGCTCCCACAGCGATGTCACTTGCGTCGGTGACGAGCTCGAATGGACGGTGGGGATCTGCAATGTGAAGGACGGGCGGGGAGCACAAAATATTTTTGAGGGCCGAGAAGGCAGCTTGCTCTTTCTCCCCCCACGTGTACTCAACCCCCTTCCTCAGCAGGTCGGTCAACGGGGCAGTCAGCTTCGCCATGTCGGGGACGAACCGGCGCACGTAGTTGACGAACCCCAGGAAACTCTGCAACTCGGTCAAGTTGGTCGGCGCGTGCCAAGCCTGAATCGTCGCAATTTTCTTCGGGTCTATTTCCACTCCTGCAGCTGAAATAACATGTCCCAAAAACTCCATGCGGTCCTGTAAAAACTCACACTTAGATGCTTTGGTCAGTAGGCGGTTCTCACTGAGGATTTTAAAAACTGCTTCGATGTCGTGTAAGTGCTGTGCTCTGTCCGGGCTGTAAATCAGTATGTCGTCCAGATAAACGATGACGCACTTATCTAAAAGCGGGCGGAATGCGTCGTTCATGGTCATTTGGAACGTGGCGGGGGCGTTGGTCAGTCCGAATGGCATGACGGTGTATTCGAAAGATCCGTAGCGTGTTCGGAATGCGGTTTTAGGGCAGTCGGGTGGGTTGACGCGGATTTGGTGGTAGCCTCCTCGGAGGTCGATTTTCGAGAAAACCCGGGCTGTGCGCAGTTGGTCGATCAGTTCGTCGGCTCGTGGGATGGGGTAACGGGATTTGATGGTAACCCTGTTCAGTGCCCTGTAGTCGATGCACATGCGAAACCCCCCGTCTTTTTTCGGTGTGAACAGTATGGGTGCGGCGAAGGGCGACGAACTAGGGCGAATGAATTCCTTCTCGAGCAGGTAATCGAGCTGCTTCCTTAGTTCGTCTAGTTCGGGTTGGGTCAGTCGGAACTGTCGCTGTACTGTTGGCTGTGCCCCCGGTTCCAGTTCTATCCTGTGATCGTGCGGTCGCTGAGGTGGCAGTCCCGTCGGTAAGTCATCCGGGAAAATGTCACTGTACTGTTTTAACAGTGCCGCCAGGTCACTCGGTACGTCGGTCAACAGTTTCTGTAAATCGCCCCCTTTGTCTGCTGCCTCGGCTTCCCGAATGTCAACCGCGTACACGTCAGCTCCGGCCGCAACAGCGCGTTTCATCGTGATCGCGTTGACACGCACCGACGAAGACTCAGGTGAGCCCCAGCGAGGTAAGGCGATGTTGTTACCGTTTACTCGCACGGTGCAGTCACCCGTCGTCCAGTCAATTCGCGGATTGTGTCGTCGCAGCCAATCATGCCCGAGTAAAATGTCGGTTCCGTCGAGGGTCGTTGCGAGCATTTCCTGACTAAACGTGAAGTTACCCCCGCATCGAATCCGAACTCGGTCTACGCGTTCCCGTATTGCCAGCGGCGTGCCGTCTACCAGTCGTGCGTCGATCTCAGGTAAGCATCGGTCCAGTGGCAGTCGCAGTTTGCGTGCTGTAGCAGTGTCAATGAGGCTGTGGCTGGCTCCCCCGTCTACGAAGATTTTAACTAAGTCCGTCCCAATTTTCCCACTGAGCAGTATAGGGCTATCTACCGTGGTACCCTCCTTATTCGGCCGGGTGTGGTCGATTGCGTGAACCGGCACAATCACTCGGTGAGGGTCGGTTGGGTCGGGCGAGCGGCGTGACCTGTCAGTAGAGGGCCCGTCTGCTACTGACTTCCAGCGTTTCCCTGCTGCTTGGTCTGTGTCTGCTGCTCAGCTTCCCCCTTTCCCTTAGCGTTTTCCGGGCATTCGCTCTTGCGATGTCCCGGCCGATTGCACGCAAAGCAGCGCCCTTTGAACGGTGCGGCAGCGGCATTTGCGGCGACGGCGCGTATCGTGGCGCTCTCGTTCGTCCCACGAGGCCGATGTCCCCAGGTGTTGTTTCCGTAGGACCCCGGTCTCGGTCGGCGAAAGAAGTCGAGCTTCTCCGCCATAGCGAGAATTTCCTGAAATTCGGTGACGCCGCGAAGCTGGATTTCCTGAGCGATGTCCTGCTTCAGGCCGCCGATGTAGCGGTCGATGCGTTCGCTCTCATGCATGTAGCCCACCTGCTCGCATAGCGCCAGAAATCCGCTCGTGTAATCCTGGACGGAACCGAGTTGGCGCCAAGTGCGGAGCTTCTGTCGCGCCGAGATCGAGGCCGCGATTGGCTCAAATCGAGCGCGCAGACCTGCGCACCACGCGTCCCACGTGCGATACTGGGGCACCTCCACGAAATACGACGGCGCCCAGGGTCCGGTTTGTCCTTCCCGTGTCGGTAGTGTCGCGTAGTCGGTCGGCTTCGTGACGATGACGCGCCACCAGTCCATGGCGGGTCCTCGCAGCAACGACACGGCGTATCGAATCTTCGCCGAGTCCTCCGAGACGTAGTTGGCGTCGAAGAAAACATTCATTGTGAATAACCACGCCTGAACGGTAGGACCACCCCGTTGACTCGGGTCAAAGCATGGCGGGCGCTGCGGCTTCAGCGGCATCGGTGACGGCAGTCCCGAATCGTGGGTTGGTGCCGAAATCGTGACGCGAGGCTGACTTGGGGCCGCATGCGTAGCTCTGGGGTGTGTCGTGCCGTGGTCGTCGTCTCCGTCGGGGCGGACGATGCCATCACTGGCCGCGCTCGCGGGTTGCCCCACACTCCCGTGTTGTGATGTTGAGGGTGCGGGTTGAATCGGAGTGCCAGGTGCTTGAGATTGTGCTCTCATGAGGTCATTTTGCAGTGATGAGCGTTCTGCCGTTAATGC